CCATTATGCTCTCCCTTAGATTTTTTCATTGCTTCATACGCTTCGTACTGTAAATACTGTACGAACTCCTTCAGTGCCAAGTCCTCCTACGATACCTCAGATACCTCCTATCATACATCACCTCCAAATGTCCCGTAGGCTACGAGCAGTAGCTTACAACCGCAATTTGTCGTAGTTACAAGACGCGGTATATAAATGTATTTCCCCCCCCAACGCCCCACGTGCTCAACATGCAGATTAGATCTATCTCACGAGGTTTGGCAGACACGCACGTCACGGATGGGTCGCTACGGCTCAGCAAATCTGCATGTCTCGATTGGTCCTGGGGTGAACATGCAGAGGAAGTCGGGTGAAGCGTCAGGCCGCTCAGGTTCGCCCGGGGAGAAGAGGACTCGTCGAGAGATCAATAGTCACTCTGTCCGCGATCAGACTGCTTTGGTGCGCCGTCTACGATTTCGGCCGGTAGCATGCTGCTGATGGTCCGAACTAGCAGTGCTTCAATATAGGGCCGCTCACTCGATAGAGTCCATGCGTGTCATCAACAGCTACGGAGTGCACTGGTGGAGGTGCCGCAGTGGAGATGGACGTCACGCTTGGGCATGTGGTCCTACCTTGGGCTATCATACTTGAGTGAGTTCCACCACGACGTGAGCTCTGTCGTTCGCGATGCGCTCGAAGTATCTCTGCTGACCATCTAAATAGGCATACGTACTGTTCACACTCTACATTCAGTGTCGCTACACCCGAACTACATGTACGCAGAGAGTGAAGCTGGAGAACTGCTGATTTGTGACGACGCTCCGATCCTGGTATATGTGTGGCATGTATGGCCCGTGGCAGCTGTAGGCGTTTGAGGCGCACACCACTACGATGCGGGATGGGCTGGTGGTTGTGGTATTATGTACCGTGCCGGGTTCCCACCTGCACGCCACGCTTGCCTCCCACCGCGATGCGGCGCGTTCGGCGCGCCGCTCCAGCGCATATGTCGAAGCGACACGTTCATCGCGAGCACCGGCCAGGTCTGCAGCTTCCAGCCACCTCGACGCTGCGATGGCCCAGATCAGGGTACGTGTCGCCGCATTTCAGATTGCAATTCTCTATCAATTCGCTCATGCAATATCATACAGTCCATCAATCCCCTCGCCATCTTCCTTATCGTCACCCTGGACAAAGCGCGTCATTCGCGTGAGCGTCATATCGCACACAACGACTTGTCCCAAGGCGCTGTCGAAGGCGTGACTGTAACCTTCGAAATTGACATACAACGTAGCGCTCAGCTGGTACAGGAAGACGCCGAGAGGGGTTCGAGTGGCAAACCAAACCGATGAAATTTATCGAGGTCGTGGAGCCTGCATAGTACTTGAGGTGCACCCAGGTTGCATGTACGAGCTACCTGTGGGCGTAGATATATGTAATGCCCGCAGGCTATCGCTATCAGCGATCGAGCACATTGACTCGACGATACTACCGAAAGATCCTTGTCCGAGCCTGTCCTCGAAAGTTCATGTTGAGAACTAAGACCTCAGACCGGAGACCTCGGGTACTATGTGCCAGAATGGTTTCATTGAGTATGATTAAAACGGGCATATCACGTTCAGAACGGTGGTCGAAGTTGAGGCCGTTGAGGGCAAACCGCGCCGTCGCCCGCCAATCCGGCCCGAGGCCCAACCATGCGTGCCGGGTCAGGCGGCGTTTCTCCTCGTTTCGTCTTGACCTGCATCGTCCATGAGCCACAAGACACACGAATCTGACGACGCAACACTGCTAACTATCGCGTGCAGATCTCAGGCCATAATATCTACGGGATGACAGCAAACGAGGGTGGCAGTGCACGTCGTGGGACGTCTTAATGGGTCGCGGAGGGTGTCGGCTGAAATGTTGCGACCTAACTAGGGAAGAGAAAGGAGGACATGGATTTAAGACCCTACCCGTTTTTGGAGCGCCTCGGTACGCCGTATATGGTTCCGACCGAACCATTCCTGATAGTCTAAACCCAGTGATACTTCGACGCCGAACTACGAAGTCAATCAAGTAGACGCGTGCATCGGGTGCCGCAGAGTGCACTGGAGGAGGTGGTGTAGAGATAAGACATGTCTTTGCATGTAGTCGCATCTTGGGCCATTGTACTAGAGTGAGTTCCCCCGAAGCGTCAATCCTCTGTCGTTTGCGACGCGCTCGAAGTATCTTTGCTGACTGTCTGAATAGATACACATGTAGTATGAAGTTGCCCATCGCTAGCGCTTGCCATGATACATGACGGTCTTACCCTATACGACATATTTTCTACGGTACAATTGCTTCCCGCTCGTGCTTGAAGCCATCCTATGCCGGCCGCAATTACGGCCATCAAGATCAAACCCTAGCGCAAGATGCACCACACCACCAGCACACAGCGTGTAGACTGCTATAAAGACTGCTCGGACTCGACTCGGAACCCTCTTCCCTTTCATCCACCACCATCAGGAAGCGACTGCCACGTAATGACCGTGCCACTTTTGATCGCTTTGCATAATGTCACCCAGGAAGCCGAGGTCTTGAACGCCCTCCACGAGTTCACAGTGGACTCCGTTGCACCTGAACTACTGCTTGAGAGCTTCCTTTTTGGTAGGATATCTGCTTGACGGCAAAGCGCACGATGTTGACTGAACCGCCATGGCAGGCGCGTGTACCTCCGGCATCTCCCTGGGCTCGTATCAACTATGGTGAGATTGTAGATCCACGACCAATTTTGTCAAGACGCTCATTGCATCCCAGGACGCAACCCTCACACTCTATGCGAACTTCTCGAATACCCGCGACATTACTTCTCTGGTCTCTCTACGCCCTGCTGGTCGCACACTGGGCTCTGAACCTGCGAGAGCTCTTACAGCTGTTGTCCGGAAGGTATATTGTCATTCACCTTCAATGCTTTATATGTTGAGAGTCTGACATTGCCAAGTGCTCTAGGACTCAACATCACCACCGCGGCAGTCTTCGACGATGCGCGGGTTATAGCAGAGCAGTATGGAAACGACCCAGCCCGCCATGCGGCATATACCCCAGCGTCAAGCTTTACGGAATTTGTGTCTGTATGGCAATACCTCGTTCCCTTGATTACGGAGACCACACTACTCGGCAAGTGCCTCGCATGTTGATCGTGGCGTGAAGATACTGATCCGACATCGCTCGGCGTAGGATTTTCCACTATCCTGCTTCTCCCGGTGGTCCGTACGGCGTTCATGTGCGTGGGTTCGTCGCTTGATGCAGGATACGATAATCTGGACGGATATAGGCAGAGACGGCATGGGTCACAAGTGTGGAGATCTTCAACGACGATCATACCGGCGCTGGTGACCATAATGTATGCCATATCGCTCATGCACTGGATTGCGTCCGTTTCCCTCTACAATGCTTCCATTGCGACCGCAAGAAACCCGGCGCAACTCAGTGACGTTGGCCTCACCTACACCGCGACCAGCAGCTCTGTTGCATTGCTAACAAGAGCGTGTCTTGCTGTGAATGTACGCGTATCGACATCTTCCCGTCTCTCGGACGACAATGCTTATGGTTCGTGGCGTGTAGATCATACTGAGTGATGCCATCGTTCTCTGGCGTATGTGTGTCGTATGGGACAAAGCTCGTCCTGTTGTCGCTCTCTCTGTCGCCCTCGTTCTGACGACAACTGCCCTCACCGTGGCCAACATAGTGTCTCTCGCCGGGTTCGTGAGTACCAGCACCGGGAATATGCTGGATTCTGAGGTCATACCCACATTCGGGGACAACTCGATCGGCCTCGCGGCCGCGTTCTTGTCTCTAGCAAGCAACATATGTGCGACATCACTAGTAGGATTGAAGGCTTGGTGAGCTTCCGTTCGGTCTCATTTGTGGAAGAAGCTTCCTGACTAGTATCCAGGCTACTCAGGAAGGAGTTGGCAAGACGCGAGCCATCGGCAAGTCGGCGCACGGTGGCCGAGCGCGTCATGGAACTGCTCATCGACTCAGGAGTGGCATACACTGTGATCTGGGTATGTATTTGTGTCCTTCAGGTTGGCGATGCCAGCGTTGACTCATACGATTTCAAGATCCTGTATCTACTGAGCTTCTTCTTCAACGTGACCACCTATAGTCCTGTGCACGAAGACGAGCACTCCGCTGACGGACCCATCACCGCATCCGCTCATCTGGATGCCGCGATGGCGCAGCTTACGGTACGTCTCTCCTCGGCACGATAATCAGTCATTGAAATCGCTGACACTCCGACGTCAGACCATATACCCGCTGATCATTCTCCTCCTCATCGCGATCAACAAGGCGCATCATTCAGGCAAGCCACGCTTGATGCGAGGGGAGCAAAACAGTACATTCGTCATGACGGTCAACATCGACCCAGACGAGGATGTCGAAAGCAACAAGATGCTCGATGAAGAGGTGGAGCGTGGTTGGCGAGACTCCAAGGGCTCATGGTGATGTATGCAAAACCATTCTACTTAGACCCCCTAGCACGGATGTATGCCTGAACTTGCTTTCGTATGTTTACACGTTATAGCACTGTTGATAGTACTACGTCATCTACCTCTGGTCAAATCGCGATCGTTAGGATGTGCATCGCTCACCCTTGAGGGTAGACATCTGATCCGCGGTTGTCCACTTCTTCAGGGAGCTAACAGTGCCGTCCACTTCGGCAATTGGCTGTTCCGCTCTGAGCATCCGACATACTGTATTCACGCGCCGGTTGAAAGGGATCGGAAATGACAATCTACGTCTACAACCCTAACCCCTTGAGGACCTCACTCGTCCGGCCCGGGTGCCGGCCCTGCGCGCGGCTTGTGCGGCCATTTGTTCGTCGCAACTTGGACGCGCCCATCCCCAAGCCTTGGTCATTTGCAATACTCCGCACGTAGCCCGGGTATCAAGCTGTGCTCTCTATTGGCCTATACCCGCGGAGCCGAGTCCGCCCATACCGCATTCGTTGGAGGCTCCCGGATGCTTCAGACACCGATCCATTAGGCGATACTCGGTTCACATCCGCCAGTACATCGTCGAGCACAGCCCGCAATGGAACTCTTGGTCTCGATGTCAAGCATGAATAGTTGGGCTCGCAGCTATCCGTGCTGTCATGAACCATATCCTCATTCCTGCGCGTACAGTGCTCCGGGAGAGATCCCGGTTACACCGGCCAGTAGATTCCTCGGGCGATGCAATCATGCCCGGCAGCGAGGTCGTAGTTGATCGTGTTCAAGTAATACATCATCCTATTGAAGTCAAGCGTTGCTGGGTACTCTCCTATAGGCCGAAGCTGTTGTGAATCACGGCCTCCAGAGGTCCTTGCGTACAGCCTCTCGCTCCATCAAAGCAAGGCACCTGCGCCGTTCCCTCGCTTGCTCGCAACTCAAGTTGACAGGCTCAAGCAGGACAGCGCTCCGAACGGTCTGATGTTCGCGGGATTGACAATGATGCCTGATGTAGCGATGCTTCCTGCGAATCGCCTGGCTCGAAGCGCCTACCTTGCCCCGCGTTTCTGCTGATTGACTGCCCGCGGTCTGTCCCATCTTGATGGCGCTGCATGACCTGTCGCCATACGCGACGGATACGCCCAACTCCCGATACACTGCCACCTCGTATATAGTTCAGATTCGACCACGACCGCCCGTCCCTTCTCCCAACTTGACCCGTATACCGGCCAATCCTGATCTCAGGGTCGACGAGATAGGCTCGCCTACTCCTCATACGCGTCCCTCCGAAGAGGATAACTGGATGGCTCACGCTAAGAACCCTAATGAACGGTATGCATCTTGCTTCATGACACTGAGGCCGCCTGCTGACGTACGTTTCTGCTGTAGTCCCGAGTTGAACACAACGCCGGCACCTTCTCCTCGACGCCGACCTCTCCCTTCTGTGCCACGAAATGTCTCAGTAGCCTCCAATCTTTCATCCTCGCACAATCTATCTACCACAGACCCTACGTCCCCGGAGCCGGAAGTGTTACCCAAGTATCCCAGCTTACCACCAGCCTACTCTGCGCTTCCGCTTGAGAAGAAGGCAGATTTATACGACGCGCCTGTCCACTCCGCATCTTCAGTGACCACTTCATTCACGACTTCTCCTCCGACATCGTCAGCTCTTTCCATCTCTTCATCCCCGCCAGCGCCACGATCATGGCCAACTAGCCCGGCTCGTATGCCGGCGACCCCGCCACGTTCTGTTCCCGCCAGTCCTTCTCTAGTCCCGCCGTCTTTAACAGCACTTGCAATACCGCCTAGTCCTTCACCGCGCGTGGTGTCTGGCGAGAGCTTGAGCGCGCTGTGGAGTGCTGAGGTGCAACCCAGCGCCGTCGACCCTCACAGACAGTCGTTCACGCAGGCCTTGAGCCGCACCGACCCATCATCATCGACGCGACCCTCCGCTTCAGTCGTGGTAGCCCATCAACCAATGAGGAGTGTCACTACACCAAATGTTCGCAGATCAGATACAGCGCAGATGCCCACCAGTAGCGGCTCTGCACTCGGCCTGGATGGTCACATCAAGACGGCGCGCCGTAGTGCATCTGCACATCATCTGAAGCAGCGTTCAAACGCGGAGATGTACAACTTCCCTCGCGCAGGCAACAGCTTCCTAACACTTGTCTCTCCTGACTCGGCCGCACCCGTGGAACGCCCTCGGACACCAAGCTTGAAGCAAGACATGGAACGTCTTACGCGCAAACGCGAGCGCGGTCGACCTCGGGCGAATGTTGATGTCGAGGTTTGGTTGAAACAGACCGCAGCCCAAAGCACTCGGCTTGTCGGCGAGCCGGCAACGCCACATCCAGCGCGCTCACCGCCCGCTGCGCTGCCTGTGCCCAGGGATCCGCCCCATTCGCGAGAGCGGTCAGCGTCTCGCTCCGCGCACGGTCGCTCTGCGCACGGACCTTCAGCGTTTCGACCACCGCAGACACCTCTTCCCGCCGCACCATCCGCGCATAGTTCTCAGGCGGAACGTCCACACACGTCGCACCAGCGCGCACATACTTTAGCGGATGTTCCGCGCCAGCGCTTTCGCTCCGAGCCCGATCTGCTCTCCACGATGAAGCCGAAGCATACCCGCTCGACATCTGAGCGTTTGCTAATGACCGAGCGGCCTCCGCTACCTTCGAGTCCTCCTCTGCGGAGGGATTCTCTTGTACCTCCTTCTCGCCCGACGACGCCGAAACTATTTCGTTCGTTGACGAGCAAGGCGAAGCAGGCATTCTCGGGCCGTTCTCGAGTGAACTCGAATGCCGATGTTCCGCCCACACCGCCTCTACCCACTCACACGATTTCCATTTCATGATTGGATGTTTTACTCTATTATATTACTTATACTACGGACGGAGCAGCTGGTGCTGTTGATCACTCGCTGGACGTTGTTGGGCTTACACGAACCCTTTACATCACTCATTTGTAAGCTATTCTTGTATGCATATAACGGGCACAGGATAGCCCGATCATGATGACTGTGTAACCTTAACTGTATACGACACTGGTACGAGCTTGAAACTTCCCAAGCCTGACGGTTTACACGTCCGCACCGCCGCGTCTCCTGCGGCCTTTACCCGCCTCTCTTGCCCGCTTTTTCCACGTTGTAGTCAATTCACGCTTTTGCGCCTCCCACCGCGCCCTACGCCCCTCCTCGTCCAGAGTTCCCATGAACGACCGCGGATCGGCAATCTCGGCAAGCGCTGACATGATTGTCCTGCCACCGCGTGCAGGCGTGGTGGTAGGGAAGAAGAGCGGTGTCTTCAAGTCGGCATCTGGTATAGGTTGAAGGACAGGTGCTTGAGTAGGTATTGGGACAGGAGCGAAGGCCGCCGGCACTACTGCAATTGCCGGCGGCGCGAGGCCGAGATCCAAGTCCAGATCAAGATCGAGGTCATCGTCGAGGTTGCCAAAGAGTGAGAACCCAGCTAAGATTCAAGTGTGAGAGATGCGTCAAAGTATGAGCTGTCGAACGCTTACCTTGTTCCTCCTGGGGAGCGAAAAGTTCCGCGAGCTTGTTGCGTTGAGTTGCCGCCGCGGATGTTACAGGAGATGGGCGTGTGCTGGATGCTGTGGGGTTGTTGGCGTGGTCCATGTCTTCCTCATCTTCAACGCTTGATCCCTCGGCTCCATCAACCTCCTCAATAGGACTCAAGTGTTCAGCATCGTCCATAGACACTGCTTCCATCGGCTCCATCGCTCGGGGTACGACCTCGAAGTCGTCATCGACAGCTTCATCGCGACCGATGGGACGCGGAGCGACGTTTGGCGCATCCATATCAACATCTGAGAGGTCCTCCGCGCCGCCCCAATCATCACCAGAGAACAGAGATGCGAGTAGAGACAATGTTTGTCTCTTCTCCGTCTGTAGATCTGAAGCAGATGTCGCTGGTGCCGATGCGGGCGTAGAGGCGGCCAAAGCGGTGGGTGCAGATGCAACGGCTTGTGGTGCTGGTTCAGGAGATGGACTAGGTGATGTCGATGTCGGAAGAACAATACGAGCCGGTGGCGGAGAAGGTTCTCCCGCATCACCCTCGTCGCTTTCCCCGCTAGCGTCGCTTTCGCTCTCTTGCCCCTTGTCCTCCTCCACAGAGGTTACCTTCTGCTGAAACCCTACAACCTGTCCTTCCAGAAATACGCCCTTGATATGCGTGCTACCCCATCTCAGCGGGTCAATCAACCTCCTTCGCGCACGCGTTGAAATCTCGACCTTTTTCCTTCTTCGCTTTCCCTCCTTTCCATCTTTTCCTTTCGCGACTTGATTTGCGACGTCGAGCGGCGGGTCCAGAGGATGCTCAGGTCGCATTCGTACGGGGCGAATGAGTCGTCCTAGCGTTGTTACAGTCCAACCTGGCTGTGTGCGTGCTCGTTCTATGGTCATAGGCGACATGTCGGGCGCGTGTACGCCGACCGTACGACGCCGCTTTGTTGGACGAGGATTTGTATCTGCGGCTGAGTTTTCTGCTGTGATACTAAGACTCTGTCAGCGTCGAGTTATG